GAAAAAGAAAAAACCTGGGAGAAGCAGCGGTCAATGAAACATATGAAAATACACTCCAGGTAAGTGTAATACCCTGGGAGCCAAATTAAAAAAAAGTGTCAAGAACAAGGAAGTGATCAGTGGTACCAAATAATGCTGAAAGGTCAAGTAAAAGGATTGAAAGAGATAACTGAATTGAGCCACAAAGTCCATCAGTGACCTTTGACAAGAGCAGAAAAGAAAACCTGATTGGAGTGGGTACAAGGGACAATGAAAAAAGAGGAATTGGAGATAAATGAGTATTAGACACCTCTACTGGGGAATATTCCTATTAAGTAAAGCAGGAAATAGAGTGGTAGGAGGAAGGGAGTGTAGTGTATTTATAAATGCATATAAGATGAAAAAATTGTTATAATGCTGATGGAAAATATTAAATAGACAAGAAAGAGATGCAGGAAAGAGGACAATTGTGGGAACAATGTCCTAGATTAAGAATGGGATCTAATACACCAGAGAAGTTGGCCTTAGGTAAGAAAACACAGTCAACCATAGCAACAGGAGGGAAAGCAAGAACTCATGAACGAGAAGCATGCAGGTGAGTAGTTGTCTTCTGATTGCTTTTATTTTTCTCTGTTAACTAGGAAACAGTCACCAGCTGAGTAAGACCTGGGATTAAGTGCTGGAGATTGAGAAGCTATAAAATAGTACCTTAGGACACTTGGGACAATGACTGGACTAGCAAACAAATGCTTAAGGTCAACAGTCAGGAATTTAAAATGGGACTCATAACTATGGCTTTGTTTTTCTCCAGCTACATTTTGCTGCATGGGCACAGAAGTAGAATAGATAGAGCTAGAATGTTTTGCCAAATGCTCTGGTTCCTTCATTTAAGTACTGTGTTGTTTTAAGTAAGAATATGCCACAACTTATTTACCCATTCATTGAGAGACATTTGTGTTGTGTCCATATTTTTACTATTTCAAACATTGCTGCAATGAATATCCTTTGTGCATGTCTTTGGACTCATGTGGGAGATTTTCTAGTCCCGTGTATACATCTAATCTAGGGTTTTTATGCTGGGTCATGAGATATGCTTAGCTTCAGCATTATTGGAAATTGCCAAATTACTCTCAAAATCATTATACCAATTTACCCTCCCACCAGCAGTATATAAAAGATCCATTTCCCCTGTCAGACTTCTATTGCCAGCCTAATGAGAATTAAATAGTATCTTAATGCTGTCTTTTGAAATACTCCGATTTCAAGATTGAGCATCTTTTCGCTTATGAGCCAGTCTTGTCTACCAACAAACCTCCACTCCACTGCTCATTTAACAAGATTATATTAAGTACCTACTATGTCCCTAGCACTGTGATAGGTAGGAAAACAAAAAGTTAACAGAGCAGATGTGGACCCAAAGAACACCAAATAATCACGAACTGTGGTAACATGAAGGACAATAGTAATCTTTGGAAATTTAAAAGGGAGACCAATTTAGTTGAAGTAGGGCAGTCAGTGATATTTGCATTTTTAACAGGTAAGAATTGAGTTAGTTTAGCAGCTATAAAAAACTGAGCATGGCCATCATCAATATACCTTCAAATTGCATGTTTTCGTGTATTCCCAAGTAGGCAGAGGTGTGCTAAATACTCTGGGGGACAGAACACCTGCTCTGGGTCCTTCCCCAGGGGTGGAAGGCTTTCTCTTGGATCCCTTTGGCAATTTTGAGATGATTACTCCTGGGCTATATCTAATTTACTCTTGTATGAGTCTCACACCATCTGGTTAAACTTACACATGCATGCTGACCTACTAATCCAATTTTGTATATTTTACCTGATTCTGGATATGTTAAGAAAAAGATTCTGTAATGGAAAAGGTGGGAGTTGCTCAGTTGGCTGGAACATCAGCCCATAACTGAAGGGTCGCGGATTTGGTTCTCGGTCAGGGCACACGCCTAGGTTGTGGGTTTGATTCCCAGTCTGAGTGCATATCGGAGGCAACTGGTCAATGTTTCTCTCTCTAAAAGCAATTAAAAAATATCTTTGGTGAGGATAAAAATAATTTTTTTAAAGGTGGGAGTGCTTAAAAAAATAAAAGTATTCAACGTCATTATTATAAAAATGTCAAAATAGTAGGGAACTTGTTAAGGGATTGAGACTATGAAGCACCATGGAAAATGTGACAGAGTTCTTGCAGTGTGAGGCAAAATTTTATCTATAGTATGGACTGATGTAAATAATGATACATTAAGGTGTTAAGGTTGTGAGTGAATTTAGGTAATTTGCTGAGTCAAAGAAAACATTCCAAGGTTCTTCATCATTTTGTCTCTGCTTGGTCTCAGATCTATCACCCAATGTGGCCCTAGAGACATCAGTTAGTAGTTAAGACCTATGCCTTTGCCACCAGACCCGAGTCAGAAGCCTGAATCCACCTGGGGCTTTACTTTACCTGTTCCCTCCATTATAAAACAAGGATATAATACATATACATATATATATACTAGGTTTCTTTAATGTAAGAAACAGAAATATGACAGATTAGCTTAGCCAAAAAGGGGGAAATCACTGGACTGAGAGTGGGAGCCCACTGAGGCCCAGAAAGGACTTCAGAAATTGAGCCGGTCCGGGGACCTCAGGCGTTAGAAACGAGAACACCATCTTGTCAGTGGCACCCTCTCCTCTCTGGTGAAGAATAGGGCTCCAGGCAGCTCTAGGCCTTCACCTTTCCAGCCTAGCAACCCAAAGGTAAAGTTTCCCTGCTAACTCTATTTTGAAAACATCCTGGCAAAGAACTCTGATATTGGCTCAGCTAGGTCACAGGCTTTCCCCTAAAACTATCTGAGCCTCAGGGACATCCTGACTTTTTTTCCTGTGGCCAGTACATCAGGGATACTTACAAGAAAAAGGAGTAAAAAGCTGGGCAAACGTGATAGTATCACAGAAACCTAGAGTGGGGAGTTGTAAAGATTAACTGAAATAATGGCTCTAAAATACTTAGCACAATTTCTTTCAAGTAGTAAGCATTCAATGATATGTTATTAACTCACCTGTGGTGAGTTTAGCAGTTAATCCCTCCTCCTTGATATGCCACTCTTTAATATTAGCCATGTTCTGAAATTTGAAAAAGACACTCACTCCCGTTCAATTAAGAAGGCTATTTATTTAAGTAATACAGTGATGTTACAAGGATGCATTTCATGTGGCCTAGAAAGCTAGGTGTTCATAAGTGCATGGTGCATGGGTGCTAGGACTACAGAATCCTCTGCTCGATCAGCCACACATATATCCTGGGCTCCCTATGAGTGAAGATGTGCTGAGATTCAGAGATTGGCTGGATCTAGGCCAGGCACCACACAAACCAGTGGTCTCCTTTGGGTCTTTTAGAACCGTCTTTACAAACTTCCAAGCAGTAGGGTAGCACTCAACTGGTTACAACTCATGCCATTCTTAGAATTAGTCCACTATGGGGGACCCCAAACAATCAGCAGCAAAATGAGTTCCTGGTAGGCATCTTCGCCAATCAATAAGCGAGGGTTTGAGTATAATCACTATTGCCAAACCATGTATGAGACAAAACATGGCCTTGGCACGGTGTGCATGCTAAGCATGGAACATTATAAATGTATTTTCTGAATGTTTAATGTCTTGGAAGGGCAGGTCAACTAGGGAGTATCCACCTTGCTCAAGTGACAATGGGCTAGACATCCCATTCTTCACCCCCCAGGAACATTTTTCTGCAAAAAATTATGAAGAGCCCTGGTTGGGTAGTTCGTCTGGTTGGAGCACCATCCCATACACCAAAAGGTTGTGGGTTTGATCCTGTCAGGACATGTATCTGTGGTGTGGGATCAATTTCCAGTTGATGGGGGACAACCAATTGATGTTTCTTTTTCTCAAATCAATAAACATACCCTCAGGTGAGGAGTTAAAAAAAAATCACAAAGAATGTTTGGGAGCTGCCTCATGTTGTCCCGGATGAGAAAAGGATCATGGATCCTACTACCTGGCATGCAAGAAAGCCGGTAAGAAAGGTTCAACATCAACATCACTCATATCACTCCTCCCAATGATTTATCAAGGTGGGAAAATTTGCTTACCTTATGAAAGGGGGTTAATGCCCACAGTTGCTCCTAAATTTATCTGCACTGTTGGTACCAATGAATCAACAAAGGTTCTTGAAGTTCCTTTAGGACAGCCTATGAAATTCCATTAGGGGACATTAAGGTTTAGAGTGGGCTACTGAAGCATAGCTCTCAGGCTTTACTCATGGGAAAGCACCATAGAGCTTAAAAGTTAATTTTTTTGTGGTGAAATATTTCCTTGGCACATATAATGATTTAAAGACAAATTTTATGGCAAGAGGTAATTGGACTTATACTTCTCTACAGTAAGATTAAATTGGTGGAAAATTCTTGTCTTATTTTTGTGTTATTTCCCCACTGATCCAATATAGAAATCTTGGGGCAGTGCAGAGTAAGAGAACTTAGTAGTTCTATAAAATTGACATGTTAGCTGAAAGTGTAATTATGATATTGGGGAAATGAAAAAAGTCACCAGTAGTTAAACCATTTACAGTTTCTGTTAACATTTTGGTGTGTAAGCTTCCAACAAGTTGCTTTAAATAAGTTTGTGACAAATCTGCATATGTCTTGCTGCCTTATTCTTTTGTGAATTCCCAATTTATCCAACTCATGAGCGCTCATTAAATGTTTGTGCATCTGACCTAAAATTTATTTAAAAGGCCTCTGAGGTTCCACATTCTTTTCAGTACTTTACTACTTCTGCTTTCTCTATAGTAAAGTAAATATTACCTAAATCTTACCTAGTATTTCCATAGTAGTAGTATAGTATGGAGATACCAATTGTATTTTGTGGCCAAGTATGTCAGTTCCCACATCTAATCTGGTTTACATGCAATGTATATTTATTTCAAGCTTTTTATATCCTCTTAAATTGAAATTTCAATGTATGAACCCCCCCCCCCCCCCCCCCCCAAAAAAAACTAAAAGCCCTCTGAATTCCAAAATACCTTTTCAGTGTCAAGACCCTGGGGCCAAAGATCCAGGAGACCTGCATTCTCCACCCAGCTTTGCCATTTTAAGTTGTATAACACTGTGCAAACCACTTTACATCTTTGGTTTTCAGTTTCTTCATCTGTACAATGAAGTAGTTGGACCAGTTGATCTAATTCTTTGAACAGTGAATTTCTGGAGGTGGAACTGGTTTCCATGGTAAATTCAGTGTAAGAGCTGCAATTGAATGCAGTTATCAAGCAATTTTAAAAATGAGTTTTGGTCATTACTGCAGGAATTTCTATAAAAAGGCTGTAAACAGTAAAAGTCAAATTGTTGAAAGTTGGTAATATATATGTTAAAAAGCTTTAAAAAGTCCAATGTATAGGCATATCATTTCCAACAGGTTATACATAATGTTGGTAGTTGTTTTTACAAATCTGTAACCAGATCTGAGAATGTGGCTTTTATTTATTGGATTAAAAAAATGTCTACTAGCACAGAGTTTTCTCTGCACACAACATACAAATACACATAATTCATTACATTCCCAAGCTTTCTCTCCAGTAAGAATCTTTTGATACCGAGTAAGAATAATATTTTAGCTAAAGCTTTCTGCATTCATTAATTTCAGGGTTCCTAGAGTTTATTTCGCATATGAATTCTCTGGTGTTTAGTGAGAGCTGAGCTTCGACTAAAGTTTTTCCCACATTCCTTACAAGCATAGGGTTTTTCTCCCGTATGAATTCTCTGATGATCATGCAAATTGGTTTTCTTTCGGAAGGCTCGCCCACATTCATTACATTCATAGGGTTTTTCTCCAGTATGAGTTCTCTCATGTTGAATGAGGGAGGAACTCTGACTGAAGGCTTTCCCACAGTCAATACATTCATAGGGTTTCTCTCCTGTGTGGGTTCTCTCATGTTGAGTAAGTGATGAGCGTCGACTAAAGGCTTCTCCACATTCATTACATTCATAGGGTTTTTCTCCAGTATGAATTCTGTGATGCTCTATGAAACTTGTACTCCTTTTGAAAGCTTTTCCACATACATTACACTGATAGGGTTTCTCTCCAGGATGAGAAACAGGTTGTTGACTGAAGGTCTGCTCACAATCATAGGGGCTCTCTCCAGTATGTATCCTCTGATGGTCAGAAAAGTCTGTAAAGTGACTGAAGTCTTCCCCACAGTCATTACAATGATAGGATTTCACTTCAGACAGAATGCTTTCATCTTGAGTAAGAGATGAACTGTGCTTGTATTCTATGCTGTAGTTATTGCTTTGGTAAGGTTTCCCTCTCTTATGAATCCTCATATGTTTATAAAGGGATGGGCTCTGACCAAAAGCCCTCCCACATATGCTACATTCAAAAGGTTTTTCTCCTGTATGAGTCCTCTCATGCTGCACAAGGGAAGAACATCGACTAAAGGCCTTCCCACATTCCTTACATTGAAAGGGTTTCTCTCCACTATGTGTGACCTCATGTTGAGTGAGGGACGTGCCATGCCTAAAAGACCTTCCACATAAGTTACATCGATAGGGTTTTTCTCCAGTGTGAATCCTCTGGTGTTGAACAAGGGAGGAGCTACGCTGGAAAGCTTTCCCACAGAGACTACACTGATAGGGTTTCTCTCCAGTATGTGCATTCTCATGCTGACCAAGGGAGGAGCTATGCCTGAAGGCCTTCCCACATACATTGCATTCAAAGGGTTTTTCCCCTGTGTGAATTCTCTGATGCTCGGTAAGCTGTGTCTTCCAGAGGAAGGTTTTTCCACAGTCAGTACATTCATGGTGTTTCTTTCCAGCATAAATTCCCTGATCTGTACCATTTGGGAAAGCTCCCTCTCCTTTATGAGTTTTCTCATGTTTAGTAAGTGACGATCTATGAATAAAAGCTTTTCTACATTTATTACATTTATAAGGTTTCTTTTTTGCAAGGATATTATTCTGATTAAGTAAATCTGAATTATGTCCCAAATTGATTCCAAGTGTATCACATTCACTAGACCTTGAAGGAATGTTCAGTTGTGTAACCAAGTCTGTGTTCAATCTAGAGTTTTCACCAAATTTATTATGCTCAAAAGTTTCCTCTGGTGTGATTATTTTCTTCTGGGTGGATACATCTGGACCCAGATATCTCTTCCAGTTTTCTTGGTGCCTCTCTAAATGACTACTCACATCCCAAGCAACTTCTACTGTGGCATGTGAGAGATCATTTGGGCGAAGGGATACTTCAGATATGCTCTGCTGCAGATTTGATGATTTGGCTTCAGGCCTGTTCTTCCAGTCTGAAAGAAATTCAAAGTGCAAAAGTCCCCTATTCCCTCCTGTTTAAACCAGCTGCTACAGCAGAAATGAAGAAATGAAAGATTCAAATTACAAATGACTCTGTTTTGAAATTAGTCCTGTAGCTTGGGGAGAATATCCAAAATGGAGGAAAGGAAAAGTGAAGAGATATGATAGTGCAGATTGCAGATCCAGAGTGAATGGTAAGTCCAGAATTAGGAAGCCCATCTAGGAGGGCTGGTTAGGGAGTAAGGAAATAAATGATTATGAGACTGTTAGACATAAACACTAAGGGAACAGCATCATAGTCTACCTTGTAGGATCCTGTCTGCTCTCCATGATTCCTGTCCATTTTACAAAGCACCGAACACTCTATCTTCCTAATACTTCTATTTCATAATTTCTTTAAAGTTACCTCTGAGGCTCTGGATATCCAAGCCATGTAGAGAAAATGTGCAGCCAATGATCTAACAGAAATGATTCTTTGATATTCTTGGAAATCAAGGGCTAGATGCACAAATTGAGAAAAATATTTCAGTAGACAAATCATCCTTGCCCTCTCAACTGGGGCTGTGGTTTTAGCCTATTTGCATTCTGGTTCTACACTGGTCACCTCTCTTAACAAAAAAGGATTTATTTTAATCTACCTAACAACTTGACCTCTAAAAACCATTAGTAAGTATTGAGCTCTAGTTAATGATATGCACATTGAAAAATGCAGGGATGAAATGTACTCATTCTGCAACTTACTTGGAAATGCATCAAAAACATAAATTGAGAGATGGATAGATGAAGAGGTATGTGATAAAGCCAATATAATATAATGTTAACTACAGAATTTTGGTGGTAGGTATGTAATGTTCACTATATAATTTTTTCAATTTCTCTATGTATTTGAAAATTCTCATAGTGAAACATTAGGAAGGACTAACCCAATAACTAATGGGCCCTAACCCCCTTACCCTGTAACAAGACTCAAGTCTAAATTCCTGAGGACAGGGAATGCTTTGTATTTCTTTTAGAACACTTCTCAGTGGGACATTCAAGAAATGTCTGTGGTGATAAATGCATAATAAAATTTCCTCCCAAGCCAGATCCCATAACAATCAATCAATGATTTCTAACTGTTTTCTACATGCTTTGCACCATAGACAAAATATATAGAAACAAAATAAGACTCTCTAGGAGCCTGAAATCTAAGAACAGAAATAAGACTCAATATCTTTTTGACAACTAAAAAAAGAAAAAGAAAAAAAGAAAAAGAAAAAAATAATCAGATGGTACACTATTAAATCTGAATTTGTGTGGCAGAGATGATACAAATGGTATTTGTGATCAGGGAAGGAAGAAGTAAGTATGTTGGCATGTATTAGGTTTCATGAATTAGACCTTGAACTTAAAGAATAGATGGCTTCGGATAGGCAGAAAGTATTATCTAATGAGGGAAAGTATATGCTACCTATACAAAACATTAAAAAGAAACTTAACCTAAATGAAAGAATATAAAGACAGTATTGGAAGGCTGATGCAGATATTTAAATCAAGACAGTTTGTTCCTTATAATGAGGTACAGAAAGTAATAACAAGGTTTTTTCAGAGGTGGACAGTTTATGAAGATATGCATTAAAATCCAATATGGTCCACCAAATTATGAATAGAAAAACAAAATATATATGCATACGATAGAATAAATACAAAGGAATGAATACCAAAAAAAAAAAAATAAGTAATACATGCTACAACATGAACCTTGAAAACATTTTGCCAAGTGAAAGAAACCAGGCACAAAGGGCTATATATTCTATCATTCCATTTATAGAACATACCCAGAATAGGCAAATTCACAGAGCGAAAAAGTAAATTAATGTTTGCCAGGAGTTGGGGGTGATGGGAAATAGAAAGTGACCATTAATGGGTACAGGGATTTTTTTGGGGGGGTATTAAACATATTCTGTAATTAGATAGTGGTGATGGTAGCACAATTCTGTATCTATTCAAATACCACTGAACTGTACACCTTAAAAGAATGAATTTTATGTTTTGTGAATTATATCTCAATAAAGATATGATTTTAAAAACCCAATATGGCCCCGGCTGGGGAGTTCAGTTAGTTAGAGCATCGGGGCACATGCAGGAGTCAACCAATGAATGCATGAGTGGGTGGAAAAGTGGGTCTATGTGTGTCTCTCTCAAATCAATAAATAATTTTTTTTAAAACCCAACATGGATTATAAACTGGGAATTATAGTAATCTAAGCCTGGGGCTTGGTTTAAGATGTCAACAGTGGAAGTTAAAAGGCAGGAAAATCTAGGATAGTTCTCGAAGGAGGAAAATATTCTGGGTTGAAAGAAAAAGACTAAATTGACTATGGTGCCTGGTCTAACAGGCAAGGGAAGAAAAGGGTGATGGGCAGGGTAGTAAAGTACGCTGGACGGGGATGAAAGAGGATTAATTTAGATTTTACATCTTTAATAAGAACTGCATAGGACTTCCAAGTGGAAGTGTCTTGTGGGAAAAAAAGTGACCAGGATACAAGTAGGATGATTGCTGAATTTATAGCATAAATAAAGAGCTGCAAGTACCAGAAGACAGGCACCCTTTTTGCAATAGAGAAAGAAGGGGAGGAGTCTGGAGGGCAGACTCCTTAAAGCAAATCTGCTTAGGGGGAAAAGCAAGAAAAATCAAAGACCAAAAGCCAAGAAGCACTTAACAAGCAGGGAGACCAAGAGAGGATGATACTCGAGGAACTATGAACGGAGGCAATGAATCAAATCGGCATGAACACAGAATGGATGGAAGACCATGTTGCTCCCTAGACAGGTGTAGTGAGGGAAGGAAGTTTAAAAACGAGTTACGAAGGGAGGAAGAATAAAGGCTGTGGCTATTTCCTACAAGTCTTGGGCAGCCAACAGTGAAAGCAATATGCCAAAACAAGGAGACATGGGAATTCAATTATGTCTGAATGAGTTAGAAAATGGGTCTTTAATGATGGGAGACTGAGGACACCAGAGGAGAAAATAATCCATCCAGCAGGGTTATAGGATGGGGAGAGATGGTATACTGAGTGTAGAACAAAGGGGTATCTTTTCCCCTAAAACCTACCAGCAGCAGGAACACCCTCCTGGAGAAGGGAGATATACAGAAGTGTCACCCAGGAGATGGCTCGGCCTCCTCTGCCAGTCTGTGAGCTCCCAGGACACCAATTTGAAGGTCCTTCCCCGCTCCCTCAGCCATGCCATTGTCTAAACTGATTCCTATAGGCTTGATTCTCACTCATTTACCTGGACAGAAAGATCTTTGGATTTCTCCCTCTGACAGCCATGGCTCTTCTCCTTGCTCCAATTTGAAGATAACCTCTGGCTTGGAAGCTTGATATCCTGCTCACGGGTAAAAACACAAGATTTGGTTGTTTGTGCAAGTGGTCAAAGAACCCTCCTACAAGTCAGGACTAGTCCTTGATCCTCAGGAACTCTGAAGGAAAAGAAAAGGTGCAACTTGAGGAGTCATGCAATCAAATGACCCATTTCCAGTTCTGTGAAAGAAAGATCTTTTACCTAAAGAGCATGCCTAAAGAGCATGCTCAGAAACCCATAAGGCCAGGTCCCAAAAAGATGAATAAGCTCTAACCCTGAACACTCACACCCTGCTCACAGTCATTCAAGCTACAGTTACAGAGCCTCACAACCTCAGCAACTGAGAAAGAAAAGACCCACCTTTAGGCAATACATTGAGGTGTGGTCCTTACCAAGAGAAACTAGGTTGCTGTAGTTCTCCAGCATCACGTCCCTGTACAAGCGCCTCTGAGCAGGGGCCATGTGGTGCCATTCTTCCTGGGTGAAGTCCACAGCCACATCCTTGAATGTCACTGATTCCTGTAGGATCACATTCCTGCTCAAGTAGGATCAACCCCACAAACATTCCCATGGCAATACTGGGAACGTATTGTAGGGTCTATCAGAATCAATGATCACACATTTAATATCCTGAGGTGTAAATGTCGGGTTAAATATACTAGTTGTTTACATAATTGTACAAAGAATCTAACATTCAGGGAGAAAAGTCATGAGGAGCAGCATTATGTCCTGTAATCCTTAGCTTTTATTTCTCTTCAAAGCCAAGTCTTTTCATACAATCACCAATTCCTCCCTCCCCGTGCACTTCCTTTGTTAAAAAATTCAAATATGGTGGAAGTAAAAAGTGGCAGCCCTCCTCACCCCCATCACCAACCTTAATATATTCCCTAGAAACAACCTCTGTTAACAGTTTGGTGCATAAACTTAAGAGTTCCTTTTCTATGTTTCTTACATACACAGTGTCTTGTTTGTGAAATACCATAAATATTGTTCCATACTTAATTTTACGTTTAACTATGTTATCTTGGAGATCTTCCCATAGCAGTACACATAACTTCACTTTATTCCTTTGAATTACTTCATAGCACTCCACAGTTCAGGTACATCATAACTTACCCATTACCTAAAACCAACAGCACCCATTGTACTAAGAGTAAGACAAACTCCTCATCACTCACTGGGCTCTAGCCATGCTGACCTTGTTGATCCCTGAACATATCAAGCTTGTTCCCACCCTGGGTCTTTATGCTTGTTACTCCTTCTCCCCTGCAATCTCTACATGGTGGACAGCTAGTTTCTACTGGTTATTTAGGTCTTAGCTCCAGCATCACTTCTTCAGAAAAGCTGTCTTCGCACCTTCCTCTAACTTACTCTCCATCATATTACCATGTTTAATTTTCCGCCTGACACAGTTATTCTCACTGTCCAAATTCCTGTCACCTGAACTCAGGAACCAAATAGATTCAGATAAAAAAGACACCTGTACTTCTAACCATTATCTGAGGCTGCTTACTTGTTAGCTTGTCACCATGCCCTATTTGAAATTTCTCCTTTGGTCCTGGTTAGATTTCTATCTCAAGAAGGATAAAATAAAGTACAGTAAAGACACTTAGTACAAAAAAATGTTGAAAGCAGAGCCACAAGTTTGCTGGAGCAGTGAGGAAAGGTTACCTGGAGGTTTCTGCTTTAGGTCATGCCCTTCTCCCCACGTGCTCGGCTACAGCAGAACTGGACTTCTTTCAGTTTCCTGGGGAGTATCAGCCTGTCCCCACCCTCCCACAGCCTTTCCCTTGCTAATTCCATTTCATACATTTCATACTCCAGGTGTTGGTTAGCAGATTTTCAGTGAAGCCTTCTGATCCCCCAGTGGATGGTTAACCCCTGTATTATGTGCTTTAAGCAACTTGGCACACCCACAATTATTCAAATAGACCTAATAATCTATTTAATGCTTTTTTTCCTAGTTAGATTATGAGCATTAATGAGGGTAACTATCTATTTTTAAACTCTAAGGCACTAGTGTCCAGCAAGTGCCTGACCCACACTACACAGCTGTTTCCTAACTGAATGGAGCCTTACGGAGGTGGCTGAGATGCGAATTTTAGAGAAATAGGAGTGAGCCCATCTACTGAGTGAGATGCATGACCGCATTCATAGACAACACTGGCGTCTCCGTATCATATCCCTGTGGTTGTGTCCCCACAGGAACAGGGAAGGGTTGAAATGTGGCAGACTTTTCTGACCAAGGTTTGGGCCAGAGAAGATGACATTAGATACTTACTAGGTATCTGACTTTACCATATGCACTGTGGCAGAATAAAAGTGCCAACGAAAAAACACTGCAGTCCTTAAATAGCTTTCAGTTTATTTTAAAATGTCTTATTTTTAGAGCACGATATGAGACAATGCATAGTAAAGTGAGGCGTTAAACTGTGCAGTGCAGAGAAGACCGCGAGAGGCACAGAAGCTTCAAGGTAGGCTATACAGTAGGCCCTCACAAGTAACTACCATTTAGATGGAAGAAGGAATAGTGGGAATCCAATCCAGAAGCTTGAGAAGGGAAGCTAGACTGGGGATGCTCATGGCCCGTAGGAGAAAAATGGTTTGGGCAAAGGCAGACATTTTAAGTTAGGCTGTGAGAAATAATACCCTCTCCCCATTGTCTACTCTGTCCTCCAAACATACAGCCCCCTTGGTATAGTAAGAGATAGTCAGCGGCCAACCTAGATTCCTGTGCTTAACTGGTTGTCCCTATTTAACACAAGGTCTCCTGACTTTATTCTACTTCTCCAAGTAGGTTGCACTAGTGGTAAAGAACGTGCTGAGCAGCAGACAAACGTCTACTCCAGCCCCTCATGGCAGGGCAACAACTAGCCTCTGTTCTACTCTTGGTTCCATGAACTCTTTTCCTAACGCATTATCAGCCACTTCTCTAGAACACAAATTGCTTAGAAACCTTTAGTTTCTCCCCACCTTCCCCTATTCCTACCACCTCACCCGTTCATGCCACCATCTCTTACCTGGACCATTGCTACAACCTCCTAACTTGCCTCTCTCCTCTTCTACTCAGGTCTTCCTCCCAAGCCTGTTTTCCATGAAACAACTAAAGTAATCTTATTAAAGCATGTCAGATCAAGTAACTTCTTTGCTTTAAAGCCTCTAATGGCATCTCCATCCATCTCAATTAAAAGACAAATCTTGCCAGGGGCCTACGTGGGCCTTCACAATCTGGCTCCCGACTATCACTTTGACTTCATTTTGAACCTCATCCCTGAACTACTGCCTTCTCTACTTCACTCACCCTGCCCTCCCTACAGTTCCTGGGATGCACTACACAGGCTTCTGCGTTGGAGTCTTTGTTCTGACTATTCCTCGACTTGGAAGCAGATAAGCATGTGGCTCCCCACTCACTTCCTTCAGCTTTTTGTCCAAATGTCCCCTCACCAGAGCAACCTTCCCTGAGTTCCCTACATAAAACTGCACCCCCACTGTGGACTGTCACTCTTAGTTCCCTTTTTCACAGTCCTTACCATGACATATCTTATTTTTGTTTCCAGCCTGTATCCTAAAGCAGAATGTAAACTCCAGGAGAGCAGGAATTACCTTTTCTTTATGGTTGAATCTCCACTGCCTAGAGAAGAGGCGTGGCACACAGCGGGTGCTCCATAAGTATTTAATAAATATGTTTCTTAAGATTCAAAACCAGACGCCTCAGTGTGAGTTTCAGAGCCCTTCATTAACTAGTCCCCACCTTACTTTCACAGCCTCAGCTCTCTCTGGCTTCTCCCCTCTATACCATAATTCAGCATGCGGAAGAGTCAGAGCTCCCTGAAATCAAACAATCTCTTTCCTCTCTCAAAGTACTGCTTCAAAACGCTAGGCCTTCCTTCCTCTGCCTAACGAACTCGCATTCTCTCTTCAGCGGTCCATTCCCTTCCCCAGGTCTGGGCTAAAAGCCCTCTCACATCCCGTCCCCTGACCCATGGCTCCAGCACAGCTCATAGCACATGTGTTATGGTGTCTGTCACTTAATATTCACTGTGCCCCTAGAGGGTCAAGACCTTGTCTCTGGCACCTTCAAATCTCCATAATTATTGTGGTATATCAAAAGCATTAAGTAGGTAAAAATATACTCTGAGATCCATGGTGTGAATTAGCCACTCTGAGTCAGATTCAACATTAGGGCATTCTCAACGCTGTAGGCCACACCTCAGACTGTAATAAAATGATCTAGTAACATCTTGTAGATACTACTCACCCTTCTTCCAGATATAATTGGACTTCATCAACACCTTTTAATACAATATGCAGATGATTTATTATAGAATTGTATACTTGAAAGCTATGTAATTTTGTTACCCCAATAAAGTCAATAAAAAAACAAAACAAACAAACAAAAAACAAGTATCAAATGTTTCCCTTCCTCATGCTGACATAAAAGGACCCTGGACAAATAGTGAAGCCCGAAGTCAAGAACTGGAAACAGGATATGCTAAGGTGAGAAGGCTCAATTTCATGAGCTCCTAAAAAGCTTCACACCTAGTGAGTGTGTAATATCCTTGGTAAATTGTAAACCTCCAAGAGATCCAATTTTCTCATCTACGCTACAGGTACTCTGAAATAAAGAAGTAGGAATTTTTGTCCTGGCTGATGTGGCTCAATGGAAAGGTCGCCAGTTTGATTCCTAGTCAGGGCACACGCTTGGCTTGTGGGTCAGGTCCCCAGCTGGGAGCGTGTGAGAAGCAACCAGCCGATCAATGTATCTCTCACAGCCTGATGTTTCTTTCCCTCTCTTCCTTTCCCTCTCTCTAAAAGTAAACAAATAAACTCTTAAAAAAAAAATAAGAGTTTTAAGAGCAGACATCCTAAAAGGATGACATGTGCTAATATAAACAGTAGATAACATGTGCTAATATAAACAGTCATTCAACTCTAACATACACCAATCCTAGAGCAGAAATCAGCTCAAAGTCTAACCCAGAAAACTCTGTAACTTTGAAACTTTACAAAACTGAAAACCAGAGAATGGCAGCTAATGTATAAAAATAATCTACTCCAAGACTAGGTTAGTTCGCCCAATTAGAACACATTAATTTTACTGGCATACAGTATGGTGTTTCCACTCAAGTACTTGGTGCTCTCTGATACCAGACCAATCATAGTTTGGTAAGCTGTTGAGTCAATAGCATGCCTAACAATTGAGTACAGAGAGAAGAAAAATTACTCATGGCCTTTACACATATACACGAATACCCTGTTTAGGCTAATGGCATCACCGTGCAGGGTGGTCCAACCTTTCAGCGTCTCTGTGCCACACTGGAAGAAGAGTTGCCTTGGACCACACATTAAATACACTGCAACACATAACCACACTCAAAAAATCTCAAAATGTTTTAAGTAAATTTACGATTTTGTGTTGGACTGCATTCACAGCCGTCCTGGGCTGCATGCGGCCCCCAGGTCCCAGGCTGGACCCCCCTGACAGTGTTCCAACTGGAAATCTGGACTCTACATTTTTC